CCTCCAATCCCCTCTCCGGTGTCAGAATGTGGAAGTGATGTATATTAAATCACTTCCGCATTCTTGTGTCACTCTCCAGCTTGAGAATCTGATGAAGCTGATCTCTGCTTCATCAGCTTCCTTAGTGGTCCCCAGGTGACATTAGGGGTCTTGGAGACCCCTGATGTCTCCATAAAGAGGACCTGTCACATATCTTTGCTATCACATAGAGGAGTTTCTTAGCCTCCTATGTGATAACAATAAAGTTAAGTGAGAAAAAAATGTAAGTGTAAAAATGTAAAAAAAACAATTTTTTAGAAAAAAGTCCCCACCCATACATACACGCGTGCAAACATGCGTCGGGTGCGCATACGTACGAAAACAACGATTGCGCCCATTACGCCGCACATTTAACATATCGCCGCGAATGTCGCAGTGAGAGCAATAATTCTAGGGCCATTAATCACTGATAACACTAAACTGATGAGCGGTAAAAGCTTTTGAAGCATCGCCTATGTTTTTTTGCGATTTCGTGGGTGCGTACAATTTTAAGGCTTGACATGTTTGGTGTCTATTTACCCAACGGGACCCCGCCTCTTATATTTTACCAAAAAATTGGGTAATAATAAATGTATTATAACATAATGTAAAAAAAAAACACTTCCAGTAATTTTTCCTTAATATAGTAAAAAATAAAAACCCCAGTGGTGATTAAATACCACCAAAAGAAAGCTCTATGTGTCCCCAAAAAATGGTATAAAAATAATTTCAGTACATTGTTGCATGATGGAATAAATGTCAGTCAAAGTACTGCAGCGATGAATATTAAAAAATGGCCAGGACAGGAAGGGGGTGTAACACTGCGGACTTCAAGTGGTAAAGGGAACTTTTTATTGACTAACCATTTCGAGTTCTGATTGTAATATTTACCTAAATGTAATTTTTAATACAATAAATACCTTATAATAGCGTCTACATCCTTGCTCAAAGTGAGTATTTGTTGTCAGTTGCAGTGAATCTGTGCTTTGCCCAATGCATGGCTAAGCAGCACATCCACTGTAATGCAGACCTCAACAGACACATAGGAATGATTTATAAAAATTCTGCCCAGTGCATAGTTGGGTGAATGGTGTTCACATTACATTAGTACCACTAGATGGAGCTGAGGAGCATTGGAAGTTCCTATGCTCCTCAGCTCCATCTAGTGGCAGTAATGTCATGTGAACAGCATTCACTGCTATGCACTGTGCGGAAGTTTTAGGCATCATCCCTACATACTTACCTTCCTTTTGCTCCATTTTTGCTTCAGATAGCTGCCAGAAGTCAGAGGAAAGCCCAGTGTAATCTACAGGTTGCCAGGGTCATAACTCGCACAGAGCTATGAACTCCCCATGTGAAAGTGCTAATTGGCCTAGTGCTGTGACACATGGAGTGAGTCACATGCTCCTCCATACTTGGAAGTACTAGGTATTTCCTTCTGCTTCCAGCGCTGAGCAGAGTGGCAGGGAAGCAAAGCAAAGGTAAGGATATACTGCTGGGGAGCGGGTACTAAAACAAACCTGCTGCCATGTCTCCACAGATTTACACAAAGTTAATAAGAACAGTAACATACAATCCCTATGTTTTCTTCTATTAAGCACTAAGGGCTCCTGTACACATTGCAGGGCACATCATTGTGTACAGAACATGTGTGCATTGGTGGGCGGTGTGAGCGCATGCTGCAATGCATTGTTGTTACTTAGAGTTTTCATCTATAGGGGTCCAGTATTTTTACAGGTTAATGTGGGCCCACTCTGTGTCACTGATAAGATGAGCTTTTCTGAGCAGTGAAGTTTAAGAGCCTGACCATGCATTAAGACTGTGATAGTATAGAAAGCAGCCATTCATACTGTGGGAGTCATTTATGAAACCTTAAAGCGGACCTTTACCCATATCTTTAAAATAACAACAAACACACCTTCAGAAATGTTTATTAATGGCAATCTACAAACACATACTTCTAGATAATTATTTGCATTCTTTGCTTAGCTTATTTCTATTTTCTTCCCCAGTCTTCTGACAGTGGCCATGCTTACTAAGGGCAGGTTACTAGCTCTCCTATTACTTCCTGGATTTCTGGCACATGTGACTAGGACATGTGACCATGCACATCATCTTAGGGGAGGAAAATGCCTTCCCTGAGATGAGATTTCCCAGCAATGCTCTGCTGATGACAAGGCAATCCCAGTGTGCATTGCTTTGGCAAACTGAAGTCATTTGCACTTTCAAAGCAGGAAGTGAATGCTCTGCAAGTGTAAGTATTTCATAATCACAGCATTTTACCCCTGACATGTCTGTTATTATTAATCATCATACATAGAGGGAGGCATTGGTAGCATTTGATTTGTGAGTGTAAAAGGTCCACTATAATACAATTAAAGGCCTTATTATGTCATATCAGGAAGGGAGCTGATCAGCCAAGATGGAATTTTCCTATTGTTTCCCCCCAAGAGATGCCAGTGCCAGGCGTGTCCATACAGTGCCAGCCTATGGTTGAGAATACTGGAATAGAATATCCCAGATGTTATTCCCACATCTCAGGAGAATTGCATAAATTGAACGGCATGACGAAATACTCATTGTATTTTCAAGTGTTTAATTCATCATCTGTTCATTTCCATCCTTGATTTAAAAAATATTGTAAGATCTGTATAACTGTAACTTGTTGAAGATGGCTTTACAATTTTGGATAGAGTATGGAATGGTTAAAACCTCTGTTGCCAGGACACCTAGAGAGTTTGCATGTCCCCATTAGGGATACAGACAGCAATAAAAAAACCTGACAGTGGTTCTAGCCTTTCCCAGCTCTTTCCAACACAGTATGAAAATTGCACTGAAAAAGCTACAGGCCATAAACTGAAATAAGAATACAAGGGAAGCCATATGTATGTATGGAGGGTCTGCTTTGGCAGCCTTTAGATCTCTGTTCTCAAACATGTATAAATATTAAACTATAACTTGTAAACTATAAATTAGGACAAGTGAAATTGCAAAGTTAGAATTCTGCTCTATATAGTATGTCAGCTTCCTTATAAATCTTACAGTTCCCAGCTGTGAATGAAATATAATACAGCTCATTTTCTCTGTTTTGTCAGCTAAATGTCCTCTAATTTTATCGGTCTTTATTTACACAAATGTAAATCTTTGGTGAGCAGCCTACGCACCCCTGAAAACCCACAGGACATTGGCCACCCTCTCACACTGACTCCCACCTACTTGCTTCCTCTAAAGTTTCCAAACACAAACAAGAGAATCAGCCACTTCCTGCCACATCACAGTTAGAGATAACGGTGAATAACGGCCAGGGATATTAAAGATCGTCCCGCAAATCAACACCCCAGGCCCTCGTTTATATGGATAGAAATGAATTCATGATTTTTTTTGCACACCGCAGCGTAAAAATATTCATCTTAACATTTTAAACGTACTTATTTATCTACTTAGTTGTTTTTTTAATTGCAGTTTGTTATATTAATAAGTAAAGTGAAATTGTATTTTTTAAGTGATTTATTTTCCTGCTCAACTCATTATTTGCTGCAACCACTTACAATGTGAAGTTTTGGCTATGCAAATGTAATAAACGTTGCAGTGGGTAACAGTGATCCTTGCTGTTTGCTGTGGAGTAGCACCTTCTATGGTATAAGTAGATTAGCATTAGCATATACAGTACATAAGTAGATTATCATCCTTATAGTAAAAATGTTACATCATAAACAGTGTACATAATGCTGTTGTCTGTAATCTGACTATGTTTCATGTTACAGCATAAATACAGTATAGGTGTAACATGAAACATGGTCAGAAAGGTGCATGTAGCCTTTAAGTGGGGAGAATGCCCCTTACATTGGTGGTCAGTGGAAAGAATGCCCCTTACATTGGTGGTCAGTGCAAAGAATGCCCCTTACATTGGTGGCCAGTGCAAAGAATGCCCCTTACATTGGTGGCTAATGGGAAGTTTCCCACCTTACAGACAGCTAAAAGATTGTTGATGTAATGCCGCTGACTCTGCCAAGTGGTGTTGGACCTAGAACTATGCATTCCAGGTCCAGGTCCATCAGATGGGAGGTGAATCAGCCACAATTCAAGGAACTCCTGGAAATCTCTGGAGGAACCCTAGGGTTCCATGGAAGCCTGGTTGAGAATGGCTGGTATAGACCATAACTTGTAGATGTAGCTGAAGATACCCCAGTTTGAACATCTATTAAAACAGAAGCAAAAGAAAAAATAAATTCTTCCCATCTAAATGTAAAATAAACGAACAGGTTCCTCTTTATTTAAATATAAGGAATCTCCAGCTCCAAACTAAAATTGCACAGCATGCTTACACTTCTACAGCATGATAAATCTCCACCAGAGTACCCAGTTCAACTCTATTGCTGCATCTACTACAGAGCCAAAAAATAGAATGATGTTTCTTTGATGAATTCTCCAAAATGTAGAGCTATGATGTAAGGAATAAATTAGAAATCCAGCTGCAAGAGTGGTGAAACCTTTATGATGGCCGTAGGGGGACACTAATTACAGCAGTAAAAAGTAAAATCTACCAATTGCTGTGTTTTGAGAGGTGTACAAAGCTGTTTAAAATTCAACCCACTAGTGACCAGCCAAAATGTCAATATATAGTTGGCCTTTAATGTTTTTAATATTGGTATGTAACCATAATATGATAAAACCTGGAGACAAGATGGTGCTACATTATACATTTACTTATATAGTATGTTAACATAAAAACTTTAACAGTGCTACTAACGTATGTTTATTAAGGCAAAGAGCAATGTGCAAAGTACAAAAACCTAGAGCAACAGATACAAATACATTTTTCACTCTTATGTCTGCTCTAAACTAATGACTGCTGAAGCCGGATTGGGTGCCTTGGCCTACTGCACTTTGCACACCATCAGTGTTGTTTTCATGGGCTTATTAATCAAGTCTGATAGGTGTTTGTTTATTGATGACACTGTTTTTGTCTTTTTTGTCTACAGCCGAGGTTGGGGGCTTTGCTTGGATGACCCACCAAGTAAGGAGTTACTTAATTTCCCTTCTGTTCCTCCGGGAGTCCTGTATGATGTTGGACATCAGTGCCGCCTTCAGTATGGATCAGGTTCCACCTTTTGTCGGGACCTTGATGTAAGATTCTAATTCCTACTTGCTTTAGCGGTGATAGAGCATAGGTATAGCGCACATTTTAAAGTGACTTGTGTAATAATGAGTTAGAATTGGTTCCTATATACGAGTTCACAATCAAACAGTTTGAAAATCCATACAATTACACTATGTGTACTGACATCTTAAGATTTAATTTATTCTGTATGTTCAGTCCAGTTCATAGTACTTACATTACCATAACTATTATTTACTATTTATCCATTTCCATTACAGAATGTATGTAACTCACTGTGGTGTTCTGTGGGGACCACGTGTCATTCGAAGCTTGATGCTGCAGTAGATGGAACTACTTGTGGTGAAAACAAGGTATGTACTGTATTGAAGGAACATGCACAAAGCACAGAATTTAAGAATGTATTGACAGCTCTAAGGCATACCATTAGTGGCTTCTTTTTAAAATGATGGTGCATGTATATCCAAAACTAACTTTCTTGAGGAGCTTACATACTTAAAAGATGATAAAATCTGGTGCTGCTGGCGTTACAAAAATGGATACCTATTGGGGACTTACTTCACCTATACTGACAGCCCTGTAGATGTTGTGGAGGGGAAAAGGTGGAAGGGGGAAGGAAGAAAGAGGGAAAGAAAAAAGAGAGGATGAGAGAAAGGGAGTTAAGGGGAGAGAGAGAAAGGAAGAATTGGGGAAGGGGAGAAAAAAGTAAAATGGAGATGGAAGAGGAAAGAACAGGGAAACAGGAAGGGAAGAAAGGAATGAGAAAGGAGGGAAAAAAGGAAAGGGGAAGAAGGGAAAAAAGAGAGGGAGACAGAAAAGGGAGAAGAGGTGGGGGTGTGTGTGTGTGTGTGTGTGTGTGGG